GCTGTGACGTATGCGGCCGACAAATACGACCTTCGGAGGACCCGTCCTGCCGTTTTGGACACAGCCGCTGTCATTTTTCATGAATGAATGGACACTTCCTTGTATCTGAGGCAGGAAACATAGCCTTATATGGTGTTTTTGGGGTGGTAATTATGCTAATCTCCTCTCGCGTGCACGAGCAGCTGGATACGAACACGTGGAATTTACGCAGCTCATTTCTCATGAATAAATGGACACTTCCTTGTATCTGAGGCAGGAAACATTGCCTTATATGGTGTTTTTGGGGCGGTAATTATGCCAATCTCCTCTCGCGTGCACGAGCAGCTGGATACGAACACGTGGAATTTACGCAGCTCATTTACACACTTTTCCTGAAGATAGAAGCGTTTGTTGAATCTGACGTGACATGTTCGTACGAACCCTTCATACGAACAAAAGCAAGAGAAATTTAGGATAAGAATAYGAACATGTTCTTGCATGAGGTCCAATGAGTTTGACTATGTTGAAGAAATTCTAACACTTTGGATGATTACACAATTTTTCCTCTTCTAGCACATTAATATGGAAATATATTAGTCTCAAAAAGTTTCAGCACGCACAAGATTTGCATGCGCACGAGTGTGTAGATCAGCTCACCTGTGAATGTGACTATTGAGACTTTCTTACTGCTGCATACTCACACATGTAGAGCTACGTTCAAGTCTTGTGAGAAGCTGGGACATCTGAGCCTTACCACATGTACTGGGTTATCAGAAGCAACTTGTTTCAGACTTTAACCCTTGTAATAAAACACACACACGCTTACAGTGATATTACTAAGTTACAAAAATCTCAACACATCCCCATGCTCAAGCTATGCAGGAAGACAGATATTTTGTTTTGCTCGCTCAAATCTTTTTGAGACTAATTTATGTCTGTACCGTGGCTGTGTCCAAACTCAGGGGCTTCATCCTTTGAAGGCCAGATTTKTCGGCTGYTTACGTCACTGCGCCGCTCCAAAGGCTGCATAAGTCCGAACACTCCTCTGTGTTCTCCTTATTCCCTGGTGTGAGGCAGTRTTGTTTTCGTTAACGATGACGATGACGAAATTTTTTCGTTGACGCCCCTTTTTTTCATGATGATAACGAGATGGTAATGAAAGAAACACAGCTCTTTGATGACTAAGACGTGACAAAATGTGTGTGAGTTTCCATTGACGAGACGAGACTGTAATGAAAATGTTAGCCAATCATTTTGAATGCAGAGTGGAGGGAGGGACAGCAGCGCTGTTACACAC